CCAAACCATATTTGTTAATTATTTGCGAGTTATTCCATCCTACGACATGCCCCACACTCTCGCCTTCTGTTTAACGTCAGCTGATCGTTGGTGTCACGCATTTGAACTGCTGGTACAGCAAATGCTGTCATCGCCAAAAGGTTTTTAGGCTGATGAGCTATTGATTCAATGATAGTCATTTCTCCAAAGCACGTGTTATCGGAGGAGTATGGAAACAAAATTACGAGACTCACTTTTATAACAAGTTTTCTCTGTCTTCTGTCTGAATTCTTATGTTTCTCCCAACATGATTCGTTAGAATGCGTATGTTTTTCTTTATCAGTGTTATTCAATATTTTAAGTTTCGTAATATGCACGCATGGTGCAATCTTACGCAATGGCGCATATGTAGCTCTGTTTTTGAGATTGCGCCATGATGAGATTGCATACTTAAGTGTTTGCTCCGGCAATTAGAAAAATATCACTTTTTATCTAACTCATATTATATGGATGTCTTTTTGTTATAAGTGTTAACGTTCCCTATAAAAAGCTAACGCATGATTTTGCACTCGCTCAAGCTTCGTATTACAGAGCGTTCTAAATATGATGTAAATAGAACCTAAAGATCATTGATAGTCTCTGCATATGTTACCATATTATAAATTGATTATCTGATGAATCTCTCAAGTTTTAGTTGGCAAATACTTTCAGTTGGGGTTTTTTCGTAAGCGTTCAGTTACAAACAAGTCTACAACGTTCAACGAAATGATGCACTAAGCGTTCGTCTTTAAATTATGCACCAATTAATTTTAAGCTCAGCGTTAATTATAGTTTCTTTTTCTTTTTCTACCTGGTGTTAATGCAAGTCTCAGGAAAATGGTGTGACGTATAATGACTAACAGCTATGGGGATTGCCTGTATACCAACAGCTGACTGGTCAGTTCGACAGCTAGTTCAAACATCACTTTTTAAGGAATGCAAAAATCGTGGAATTTTGGATTCTGCTATGAATTCTATATCAGCATAGTTTCTGCATAATTTTTGTAGAAACGCAGTTCCGTCTAAAAGCTTTACCTTGCATCGTCGGTGTACAATCAGCTGATGATTCATTTTGTAACAGAGGAAACCTGGAAGAGATATAATGTCATGGAATTGATTTATATATTGTTTGTCATCTGCCTATTTTATAGTGGGCAAATTATGGTTACAATGATGTCAAGAACTAATGTCGGAATGTTAAAATTATCTTACGGATGTGTCTCTCTTATGTCAAGTTTTCTTTTGTTGATAATCTTATGATCTTTCTTTGTAGTTCCTTGTCAGGAACACTTAATCTTTTCTTTTTTCCTACGCTCTTACAGTCAGGATGTTTTGACCTCTTTGCGGCTCTATCATTGCTAGTTGAAGGCTAATGTATTGCTTTACAAGTTGTGAGCGTATTTCCTCGCTCTTCTTTTTTTTTTAATGCTCTTTAATCGTTTTCTTGCTGTTCTGTGTTCGAAAGATGTCTTTCTTTTAAAACTTCTCTCCTTCATTGCCAAATATTCAGAAGCAATGTTTCAGTAGCATTCTAGTGCTTTTGATGTGGTCGTCGCGAAGTAAGAAATCTTATCAGGTTAGTACCAGCAGTTTATCATATTGATCTAGTCAAAACATTATTTTTCTTATCAGTCAACTCTGGTAACTTGTACATATCACTAAGCAGCAAACAATGCATTTTCCCGTGTAATGCTGAGCTTTGTTTAATATCATAATATTTTTATCAAGCTCTAAGTGCTGTTGTAGAGGATTGATGACGATTATGAAGACGGTGATCAAAGAACAAGTACGTGCGGCAGCATTCTTCCGATAATGCATACTGGCCGAAATATGCTGTTTGGAGGTGGACCAACACATTCAGAATCTGCTCCTTTGTGCGTTTTTTCCCTACGTTTTTTACACTTTTTCTTCTTGTATGCAGATTTAATTGTTTGACTTTGTTTGCTTTTAGCCCTTTTTTGTAGACCGATAGTCCCTGTTCTTTCATATCTATACAAACTTAAAGCAGTGCCCAATTTCCATATTTATTTTTCAAGTTGTAATTTTCATTTATACAAAGCACAATATAGTTGCATGAACATTGAGCGGGTGGTATCTCAACTACGTTGTTATGAATTGGGTACTTTTATTAATGAACTTATGAGAACTTTCTTTCTTTTTAGTTCGATCCCGTTTCTCTTACAGCAATTAACTGGGAACATTCGCCAAAACTGCTAAATAACTTTTTTCCCTTCGTGCTTTGTTTAATGTGGCTTTGAAAGAACGTGAAGGCGCAGTTGGTAACTCGTTTCACATTCGATATATATGCTCAACTGTCAGTCTTTACCCCATATTTTTGGATATGAATATCATCTATCTCACGCTGCATTTATCTTAAACGTCTTCATGGCTGCTTTGGGCAGAACCGTTGTTGTTGTTTTTTTTTTGCCGACCACTTGGCAGCTTACAAAAATGCAATCACAAATGTAATACGATGTTCAAAGCTTCTCACAATTCGAAAAGTTCGAATTGTTTATATTCCAATCATTCCCTTGAAAAAGTTTTAGTCCTTGGAATAGCGTTAACATTTTTGTTCTATTGTAAATTTTGTAATTTTGCGACGTTGCACATCACAGTGATATGTATGTTAAATGCTATAACATTCAGCACTACGAGCACAATAATGATGAGCGTAGGAAATACGAGTACTTATTCCTTAAAATTGCGTAATGGTAGTAAATGTTGGGATAGAAAAAGAGAGATCAGAGGCAGTAGTAGTTCGCAATTTTCCAGAATTTCGGGGTCGTCTACGCCCGGTGATGCTTATAATCCACCGCCTTCAACCCATGTGGTTGGTTCATCTCGGAGTGATGATGTAAATCCAACGCCACCTGTTATGTCATCATCTTCAAGGCGTAACGACCACCGGTGGGATCATATCGACAATTTGGATAGGGTTGGGATTTTTCCATTAAGTTATTCGATCACTAACTCAATAATAGAATCAAGGGATTGCTTGCAGTTTTTCACACTTGTTTACGAATATCATCAAGGTGGTGGTTTCTTGACCATTGCCGTCAAGAAAGTGCTGGGCCTAGCGCAGTTCGTCTTCGTTGTGGTATGTCACTTCATATCTCTTCTTCGAGCGCTTTCATCGTGTGACTGTTTTTT